TTTGTATTGTCTTTTTAGTTCTGGTGACATAACCTCATGTTCTATTTTCTGGTCATTTTCTTTTTTTATTTTTAAAGATTTTATTAATTTGTCAGAGAGAGAGAGCACAAGCATGGGGAGCAGCAAGCAGAGGGAGAAGCAGACTCCCTGCTGAGCAGGGAGTTGGATGCAGGGCTCCACCCCAGGACCCTGGGATCATGACCTGAGCCGGAGGCAGACACTTAACCGACTAAGCCACCCAGGTGTCCCTTCTGGTCATTTTCTACCACATCTTTAAAATTTTTATTTAGTACTCACCACACTGGAAGTTATGAATAGTCCCGTTTTATAGATGAGGAAACTGAGGCTCAAAGACATCACATAACTTGTGCAGTATCACAGTTTGTCACTGAAACTGTGCATGCCTGATTTGAGATTCTGTCCCTATTCTTCTACATCCCTCTGCCTCTTGGGTTGTAAGTGGTGAACCCAGGACCTTGGGTTTGTGGGCACTGAACTGGCAGGGAATACAAGGTGCATGTGGATTTAGAAGAAAAACCATACTTCTGGTACTAGCTGGTATATTTCCCTTTTTAAAAAACTATCCGAAATTAGTCAGCCAGCAGTTATATTGAATATTCTCTGCATGTGGAGTTAATCCCCCCACAAAATATACCCTTATGAAAAATACATACAGTGGGGGGAGGGAACATGCTAGATGTGAAGGAAAACATGTTTATGTCTTTAATCATTAATGGTAGTGTTATCAATGTGGTTATAGTTTGAGTAATTTAAACTTTCTCTATTTTATGTCTCAAACTAAAAGTCCTTAAAGGTGGTTTGGAAAGGTATGAGCAAATTTCCTTCTTTAGTTGCATGAAGCTGACTTGTCAGATGCAGTTCTGCAAATATTCAGGTCACAGAGCAAAGGGTGATGACTCCTGTGTGCTAAGTCTGCAGCTGGATATCATGCTTTGGCAAGAACCGTTGTAATTTATATCCTGTAAAAAGAGAAAAGTATTGTCTTATCCCAACCAGATAGTTTGTTAGCATAACTGTTTGTGTGCGTTTTAGTATTCAAATACAGATGTTCCAAAATGTTTCCACTGTGGGAAGCAGCTGCTGCTATTCTAGCACAAAAATCTCAAAGAGATTAATATACAAAGGCAGCAGTGAACCTTAGTGGCAAACGTAGCATCTGCTTGAGGTGGGGCCTGTGATTCCCCATAGATAGTGGGTCTTCAGATTCTCGTTAACAGCCTGAAACCATGTTTCAGATCTAAGCTGATTCTACAGGAACAGGAACAAAGACAAGTGATTAATTTGTAATTCACTTAGCTGATAAATATCATCACATGTTATTTGCCCAAGGGCTGTAAAATACTGGACTTCATTTCCTGTGGCAACTGATAGGAATATAGTTGCATGATCATAATGACTGATGGGTTCAGTTGCCATTACTAGCTTCTGCTAGGTACCAGAGCTCAGCCCAGCCAGCTGGCAGTCATAAGACATCCATCCACACCTTAGAGATGCATTCCCTGAGAACCTGATGGTTTATGCAGGACTCTCCAATACACTGCTTCATCTGATCCCATCCTCGCCCTGGGAAGTGTGTGTGCTGTCTTTATCAGTACAATTTACATATAAAGGAAACACGGCGAAGAAGTGGAGTAACTTATCAGGGCTATACAGCCAAGGCTTCTGACTCTAAATCCTGTTCCATTCATACACTACATCGCTAATGTAGAGCTGCCTCTCTAATTTCAGAGGCTTTGATGTGTGCTTCATAAATTCTTTTGTCTAGAGATGCTGGTTTCCAGGACACCTGCCTTGAAGAGTCGCAGTGAGACAGCACTGCCTAGTAACCGGACGGTGCCAGGGAAGAGCGAATACAGTAGTCCTTCCCTCTTTTTTCCCACACCCCAGAGGGGAAATGCCCCAGCACTCCCTTTCCTTATGTTCAGAGAACTGCAGCAGTTGAGCTCCTGTGTCTCCCTGGCATTTAGAGAAATGAAGAATCGAAGCAGAAGATCCCACGGCTGTCATTTGGAGTTGCCATAAACCAGAAGTCCCTAAGAACAGTGACGCCTGGGGTGCTGTGCCTGCCCCAGGCCTTATAAATCCATCCCCTGCAGTGTTCAAGGGCTCATTGCCTCCAACCAGATCTACGGTTTGAAATTATCTAGTGAATTATTTATGTTTATACATTTGACAGAGGCTCATGGCTAGAGTTTGAAAACACTCAATTCCTGGTACACTACTGGGATCTAGAAATGTCTGTCTGGAAAACCAAGGCTCAAGGAAGTTAAGTTTGTAAAGGCCCCAGAGCTGGTAAAGGGCAGTGCAGTATTGAATCAAGTGTGTCTAATTTTAAGTTACGCTAGCTCCATGATGAGAGATCTGTGTGCAACAAAGATTTGTGTGTGGGGTTTGTGGACTGTATCCTGCTACTTAGCCAGGCGTGGGTGGAGAACCCCAGAGAGGAAGGTGGGAGGGCCAATTATAGAAGTAGGGGAAAGAGGCGGGGTCCCTGGGAAAAGGAGATTGTTGGGGAGGGGGAGGGGAATTGTGAGCAGGAGAAAGGCTTGTATACGATGTGCTGACGTGCAGTTCTAACCTCTGGTCCCAGAGAGGCTCCTGAAGTGGGAACCAGAGACCAGTACACGTCCAAGTGGCGTGCTCTTTGATGACATCGTTGTTGCTTCTGCCACAGTCACACTGATGCAGCACTCTGGCTTTTATGGACTCGTTTATGCTCTTCTCTACTCAGAAAAAACAAAAAAGTAAATTTCTAAGTATTTATTTCTCCTCTGTTTTCCTAAATCTTTTTGTTGAAACGTCTGTGAAATGATAGAAGCAACTCAAGGGGCATCTGGGTGGCTCAGTCAGTTAAGCGTCAGACTCTTGATCATGGCTCAAGTCTCGATCTCAGGGTCATGAGTTCAAGCCCTGCATTGGGCTCCACGCTTGGCATGAAGCCTACTTTAAGAAGGGGGGGGCAGGGCACTGGGGTGGCTCATTCGGTTAAGCAGCTGCCTTCAGTTCACGTTAAGATCTCGGGGCCTGGGATCAAGCCTTGAGTTGGGCTTCCTGCTCAGCGGGGAGCCTGCTTCTCCTTCCCCCTCTACCCCTCCTCCACTTGTGTGCTCTCTCTCTCTCTCAAATAAATAAATAAAATCTTTCCCAAAAAATGCAACTTAAAATGATATGGAGCCCTTTGCAAATACACAAGTTGCAAAATATCATAAAGATGATCAGTGTTTCAGTTATTTTGATCAAGAACTGCTATTTCGCAGGCAAAGAAATAGGGTAGTAAATCACTCACATCTATAAAATATTAATAAAAGTGTTCTGAAGTGCACAGACATAGAACACATCTCATAAAGAAATGCCCTTACCCCAGGTGGGACAGTCTTCCCTCATTGTTATTCCCCAGCCTGGAGGCCCTTGTGAAAATCACTTGCCTTCCTGTGACAGAGCACACCCTTTGTTCTGCCAGGATCACATGCTCATGTTGGGAAGAGGGATCATCGTGAAGAAAAGGGGATACATGGCTAGAGCTGTGGGCGCAATGTGAAGGTTGGAAAGGGTGGGGAAGCCTGCAACTTGTAGAATCAAAAGGTGGGTGGGGGATGGGTTAAACATTTGATGGAGATTTGTGATGAGCACCTGCTGTTGTATGGAAGTGTAGAATCACTAAATTCTACACCTGAAACTAATATTACACTGTATGTTAACTAACTGGAATTTGAATAAAAACTTATTTAACAAAACAAAATGCAAAAGGAGGTTAGAAAAAGCTGAGGGTAGCATCCCTGTTATGTCTCTGCAAAAGCGTTAGAAACTAGACTAGAATCTACGACTAAATGCACTTGCGGAAGATTCCAGAACCCATGTAAGTCTTTTGTTAATTTTGGTGTCCCTGTTTGATTCACTATACCAACATACAGTCCTTTTCATTAAAACCTTTACGACAAAAAGGGCTTACCTACTTTTCTTTACACAAGAACTGTATGCGTGGCAAGCTTTGTGAGAGGACGACAGTGCTTCTCTGCACAGTGGCCAGGGTCAGAAGAGCCTCTAGGCAAGAGGAGTAAAGCTGGAAGAGCCTGGGTGACTCAGTCAGATAAACGTCTGCCTTCTGCTCAGGTCATGAGCCCCAATGGCTCCCTGCTCAGTGGGGAGTCTGTTTCTCCCTCTGCCCCTCCCCCTGCTGTGCATGCGTGCATTCTCTCAAGTAAATAAAATCTTTAAAAAAATAAAGTCTGAAGAGCCAAATGGGCCTGAAAACAGGTGGTGAAGCCCAGTGGGAGCACCCCATTCAGAAGAGGTGTAGGTTGGAACCAACCATTGTTTTCCTCTGGGGTTTATCCAAATCTAAACCCTCCACAGTAATCAGCACTGATGAAGTCACATTGAGGGAACACAGATAAGAGAACAGGACCCGGCAGTCACAAAACTGACCCAGTCAGGGTCCTGAGTCACAAAATTACCAATCGTCATTCTAAACATCTCCCTTACCATTAGTCTATCCATTTACTTTGGGAGAAAACACGCCTAGAGAAATGCCCCGGAGTGCAAAGACCGAACATGGATTTCTCATGAATTTCCTATGCTCTATTATATGTAGTAATTAATTCTGGTTTTCTTCAACATTTTCTCATATTACAGAGGTTAATGGCTATTAACGGAGATATAGCATGATACTAGAAATGTCAACAAGTCTTTAAACTAAAACGAAGGTTATATGGAACACAGCCTGTTTCTACGAGATTAGGTCTTGAAAGTTACTGATTAAATTACCATTGTCTTTTATTAGGAACTTGCTGTTTGGATGGGCTCTTTTTCCGTTCTGCACAGGTCTGTGAACCACTGATAGAAACACCATTAGGCATTGAGTTGGATGGTTACAGGCACACCCTGAACCCTAACCCTGAGTTGGATGGTTACAGGCAAAGCCAAAGCCATTTTTCTGATGCGCTTTCGTTTCTCTGCCTTATCCTTTCTCCCCAGGCAGCTTCATCAGCCCTGAGCAGTCTGGGCCACGTGTACACAGCCATTGGAGACTACCCCAATGCACTGGCCAGTCACAAACAGTGTGTTCTTCTTGCCAAGCAATCCAAAGATGAGCTTTCTGAGGCACGAGAACTCGGCAACATGGGAGCTGTGTATATTGCCATGGGTGACTTTGAGAATGCTGTGCAGTGCCACGAGCAGCATCTGAAGATAGCCAAGGATCTGGGGAACAAGCGAGAAGAGGCCCGGGCCTACAGCAACCTGGGCAGTGCCTATCACTACAGGAGGAACTTTGACAAGGCCATGTCTTACCACAACTACGTGCTGGAGCTGGCACAGGAACTAACAGAGAAGGCCATTGAGATGCGGGCCTATGCTGGCCTGGGCCACGCTGCCAGGTGCATGCAGGACCTGGAGCGGGCTAAACAGTACCACGAGCAGCAGCTGGGCATTGCTGAGGATCTCAAGGACCGGGCTGCGGAGGGACGAGCGTCCTCCAATCTGGGTAAGGACAGGATGGCTTGCAAGATTCAGGGTCAATGCCCCGGGCCAGAAATAGCCGAGGGAGCCCACGGTCTTTTGCAGGAATCTGTGTGTTTGTGTTCAAAAGCATCTCTGCATTGTGTGTGATGTATGTTTCCTTCAGGTAGATTTCCTTGGAGCCTGCCTGCTCTAAATCCCATGATCCTTCCTGCCATCACAGTGCTGCAAGGATTAGGATTCTGAACTACTGGAAAAACAGAACACCCCAACGTTGTAATCTGTTTAGAGAGAAGAGCAACCAGATTTATCTAATTAGAGAGGAAGGGAATGAAATGAGGATATAAAAGCTATGTTTGGTGTAAATGAAAGAGAAGCTGCTAGGAAGTCATCAGTGGAAGGGAATCTGAGAAGAATTTTGTTTAAAGGGATTTCTTTACTTGGTGACTTTAATGCCACAGGAAGTGTATTTTTTCCTCAAAAGTATGTGTATTCACAAATGACACTGCTAGTTTTGGTATAAAGGCAAAATTCCTTTTTGGAAGATCTATTTAAATAAGCTAGATTTGCAGTCACTGTTTGATAGAACTTGGTTACAATGAAGACATTTATAAATTTGGGGGAATTTATAGGTAATGGTAAGAGACAATAAGTATTGGTCCCTGGCTCCTTTTTAGAAGATGTTGTTATCTTGATTCTACTCGAACAGATGTGGGTACACAATGGAAGGAACAGATGTGTTTGGAAGTAGAAGCGGAACTCATCGCTGAGCCCCATTGTCTGTGCTGTGTGCACATGGACTCAGGACAGGGAGAGGACAAGGAGAGGTAACCTCCTTGATATCAGTGTATGCTTCTTGGATATTAGGAGCAGCAGAATGTATACTTCAGCTCCCTTTTCTTATGTGACCTACAAAACTGAGGCACCCCCTTCTCCGTTTATATAATTTTAGCACTACTCCTCCCACCCCTCTACCCTCTGCTCATTGTAACCAGATGTTTCATGAATACAGTTGTTAGAAAAAGTCTGGCAAATCCCTGGAGATAACTCTGAAGATGGTAACGAAATCAAAGTGACAGTCTAGAGAGTCTGATAAGAACCATAGGAATAAGCTCTTGGCATTATATATTCATTCAACAAATTACAAGTATTTATTGAATCATTACTATGTGCTGAATCCTGGAATAGTTGCCCTAAAGGATAGAGATTTAAGAAAAAAACATCTTTGCCCTCAAAGAGCTTATAATTTAGTTGGGAAAATGAGACTTAATACATAGGACAACAGTGGCCTCCCTGCAAGACAGTATTAGTGATGTGGTGTTGCCATGAAATTCCAAGAAGAGAGACCCTGAGAGCTGGGACTAGCCTGGGAAGCTTCTTGGAGGAGGCTAGACCCACTTAGACCTTGAAGAATAGGTGGGATTTGGCCAGGAATGAGATGGCATTGATGGGGAGGGATATGTGAAAGAATGGGTTGGCGTATCTGTGGGATGGTGGAGTGATACCCTTCAGGACTGTGCTAGAAGATGGCAAATTAGTATGAAAACCAGGCAAGAGATATGCTAGCAGAAACTCCTGAAGGTTTTGAAATATAGGAGTAAGAGGAGAGATCGGATATTTAAGGAAGACAAGTCAAACAGTGGCACATAGGATAGATCAGAGGGCTTGGAACCTGGGAAGAAGACCATACATATTGGACCATTCAGATTTTCTTTATCATCTTGTGTCAGTTTTGATAAGTTGTATTTTCCAGAGATTTTGCTCATTTCATCTAAGTGTTGAATTTAGTGGCATAAAGTTATTTATAATATTTTCTTATTTTCCTTTTAATGCTTGTAGGATATCTAGTGACATCTTTCAACTTTGTTACTGGTAGTTTGTATTTTGTACCTGCAAACCACCCCACCCCCTGTTTCTGAATCATTCTACATAGAGATTTGTCAGTTTTCTTGATCTTTTTAAAGACCAATTTTTGCTTTTGTTAATTTTTTTTTATGGCTTGTCTCATTTCTATTTCACTTATTTCCAGTCTCATTTTTATCATTTTCTTCTTGCTACTTACTTTGGGTTCTCTTGCTAGCTTCTCAAAGTCAAACCTCAGGTCATTAATTTTAGACCTTTCTTCTTTCTAATACAAGCATTTGAAAATATAAAATTTTCTCCAAACACTGCTTTACCTGCATCCAATAATTTTTGGTGTATTATGTTTTTATCTTCACTGAGTTTAAAAACATTTTCCAAGATCGTCATGATTTCTCTTTAACTCCTAGAAGGGTTATTTATTTTTAAATATTTTGGATTTTCCTAGATACATTATTGTTATCAAATTCTAGTTTAATTTCACTGTGGTAAGAGAACATACTTTGTAGGATTTCATTGGATGTAATGTCTTACATATGTCAGGTCAAGGTAGTCAATGGTGCTGAATGTTCCAGTCCTTTTTGTCTGTTTTGATTTTTTTGTCTCTGTGTTTTGTCAGTTGCTAAGAAGGAGGCTGTTAAATCTCCAACTATTATTGTGGACTTCTCTGTTACTCTGTTTACCTCTGTGAAACATGGTTTCATGAACTTTGAAACTCTGTCATTGGACACATACTCATTTGTGATTTTGTCTTCCTGACAGATTGGTCCTTTTATCATTATGAAATGTTTCTTTTTTGTCATTGGTCATAACTTTTTGTCTTGAAGTCTGCTTTATCTGCTACTCCTACCTTCTTATACTTACTGTTTGTGTAGTCCTTTGTTTTCACATCTCTTTACTTTCTGTCTCTCTGTGTCTTTATATTTAGCTTGTTAACTGCAGATAACATCTAGTTCATTTTGCTTTTTTTAAAATTTTTTTATTGTTATGTTAATCACCATACATTACATCATTAGTTTTTGATGTAGGGTTCCATGATTCATTGTTTGTGCATAACACCCAGTGCTCCATGCAGAATGTGCCCTCTTTAATACCCATCACCAGGCTAACCCATCCCCCCACCCTCCTCCCCTCTAGAAAGAACCCTCAGAGAATTTCATCCATTTAACATGTATTGTAATTATTGGTGGTGTTGTATTTAGGTCTGTTATTTTACTGCTGGTTTTCTGTCTTTCCCTTTTATTTCGTTTTCTCTTCTTCCTTTCCTGCCATCTGTGGGTTAATTTAATCATACAGGTTTTATTTTAACTTGTCCACTTGCTTTTTAGCTCTACTTCTTTGCATTATATTTTAGTGGTTGCTCTAGGATTACATTATATTATCCTTAAATTTTCACAGTCTACTTTGAGCTAATATCTTACCACTTCCTTTAAAATGTAAGTGCCTTACAACTTTATAGGTCCATTTATTCCTTACTCCCTGTACTTTGTACTGTAGTCATCACATATATTACTACATCTATATTCTTTTTAAACTTCACAATACAATGTGGGTTTTTTTGTTTTATACAGTTATATTAAAGAATTAAGAGGAAAATGGTTTCTGTTTACCCACTTATTTATCATTTTGGTACTTGCAGTCATTCCTAAAGATCTGAGTCTCCATCTGGTATCATTTACCTTCAGCCTAAAGAACTTCATGTAGCATTTCTTGTAATGCAGGTCTGGTGATGAATTCTTTTCATTTTTATTTACTTTAAAACTCTTTATTCACCTTCACTCTTGAAGGATATCTTTGGCGGATACAGAATTCTAGGTTGATGGACTTAAAAGCAGTTTAAAGTAGTCTTTCCAATGTTTCTTGGTCCCTATTATTTTGATAAGTCAGTAGAATTGAAAATCTGTAAGGCATGTGCTAATTCTTTGATTGCTTTCATGATTTTCTCTAACCTTGATTTTCAGCAGTTTAATTATGATATGCCTAAATGTGGCTTTCTTTGTATTTTCCCTTACTCTGGTACTTTGAGCTTTTGAAGCTGCAGATGTATATCTTTCTCCAAATTTAGGGAATTTTACCCATTATTTTTTCAAATTTTTCTTCTTGCCCATTCCCTCTCTCCTCTATTTATGAGCCTCTGCATTATTTTAGATCTTTTGATATTGTCCTATATATCATTGAGGCTCTGTTCACATTTTAAATCTTTTTTCTCGTATTCTTCAGATTTAAAAATTTCTGTTTAAGTTCACCACCTCTTCCTTCTGTCATCTCCAGTCTGCTTTTAAACCCATTCAGTGATGCCAAGCTTGGGATTCCCCAAGACTACTCTCGCTTTGGACATCACCTGTGAACAGGGGTCTCCCAGACCACCCTCAGGTTCAATAATTCACTAGAAGGACTCACAGAATTCACTGAAAGCTGTTATACCCATGGTTATGGTTTATTACAGTGAAAGGATACAGATTAAAGTTAGCCAAGGGAAGAGACACGTGGCAGGAGAGTTCAAAGAATGAAGCCTTCGGTTGCTTGTCTTCCCCCAGTGGAGTCATGGACAGTGCCTTTCTATACTTCCAAGCAACAATATCGACAATATGCGCAGACTGTTATCAGCCAGAGAGGCTCACTTGAGCCTTGGTGTCCAAAGTTTTTATTGGACCTTGGTCACATAGATATGGTTGATCATTTGCATGGGTGACCTTGGTTTCCAGCCCCCACAAAGATTGAGCTGAAAGCCCCCACTGTAAATCACCTGGTTAGCCTCAACTGTTTCGCATAGCTAACACCCTCAGGTAAAACAAAGACACTCTTAGGCAGGGTATTCTGAGGGTTCATAGATTACTTTCCAGAGCTGAGGGCAAAGTCCAGGCCTCTCTTTGGGCAAGGTTAATTGTTTACTGCCTAAGTGAATTTTTTATCAGACATACATTGTACTTTTAGCTTTAGAATTTCCAAGTAGTTCTTTTAATTAACATTTTAGTTTTTCTGCTAAGATTTATGTTAGTTTATTCGATACATGTATTTTTTGTTTACGTAGCCAAGCCTATTTATTACAAAAGCTTTTAAAAACTTGTCTCCTAATTCTGTGTGGGTCATCTTAGAGTTAGATTGTATTTTTTAAAAATGCAATGAAGTTAACATATAGTGTTGTATTAACTTCAGGTGTACAAT